AACCTCAGCCAAGGTGTCTAGATTTGAATTGAGGTGCACAATTATAGGCCCACAAGTTTGAAAATACTGGCTTAAGGGCTAATATAAGTTCCTCTTATAATATATTCAGCTGCTTGTAAATTTGCCGTATACTTGTAGGCCTGGCTTCACATGAGTAATTTGACATAGGTGAGGCCTCATTTCTTGGGAGACAGGGATAGGGAGGTAAATGAAGCTGCAGGCTGGAAACAGAATGTCTGTACTAGCTAAGATAAAGGGGAACACCCAGCAAACCATTAACAATGGACAAGATACCAATGGACAAAAGCCTGGAAAGCAAGATGAGGTAAAAAGTAGGCCATACATGGACAGTGCATGCTGAACAGGGACTGGTTCCTACAAAGTAACTAAGCCTATCCCAAAACATGTGATGCAATGCATAGTAAATGCACTGTAATGTGTAAATGTACATAAAGGAAAAGGTTTGCTGTGTAACTTCGGACATGCGGTACGCCCCTGTGCCCTCCCCCTATGCTTGAGTCTAATAAACTCAGCCTAGGTTTGCTGTATGCCAACTAAAGAAACCCGAGAAACAAAACTAAGGTCAAACTGAGTTCTTGGGAATCCAAGAGGAAGAGGTCTCACAGGAACCCCAATAATATTAACTATTCAGTATGAAATTTGCCATGCTTGATCTCTGCTGTAGGCTGATTTAGGCGGAGGTTGGTGGGAGGAAAGAATTTCAGTATGAATAGTGCAATTATTTCTGGGACCAAAGTTGAGGAAAATGGCAGTGTTGTCAATGATAACAATATATTCCAACTGTTCTTTGCTAGCACCACTCTGGTTTGTGGTGGGATCTTGAAACTTGGTTCAAGGATAGCCCTGGAGTCAGAGAGGTGCCTTTTGCTGTCACTCTGAAAATCTACCTTGGTTTGGTCAAGTTATAAGATGTGAAAATTGGCACATACATGCTCAGAAGAACTTCTGTAAGCACCCATTCCTTAATTTTCTGAACATTGCATCTGTACTGCATATGCTCTGTAAATCTCATTGAGCTGCCCTGGCCTGCCCCGCCAAAACATTGGTTGGCCTAAAAGAATATACACTGGGCTTAGGACACCATGAGATCCAGTTTCACCTCTTTCACTTACTGGTTTTTATATTTTTGTTTATTTTACAATCCTTGACATTGTCCAAAGCCTCATATCCCGGTGCTACAGGCAGGCAAGTATCATTCTTTCCCCACTCCCTGCAAGGTAACAGAGATTGCACAAGGTCACTTCCAAAAGGGCTGGGAACAGAACATAGGGCAAACATTTTTGAAAACCGGTGTGCTAAATGCACATTTTGGCACCTAAATAAGTGTCCTGATTTTTCAAAAGTGCTAAGAACCCAGCAGCTACCATTTAGTTCAGGATTTAGATGCCTAACTTAAAGCACACATTTTTGAAATTTTGGTCCAGTTCTTTAGTATGGCAGACCCATCTGCACCCACTTCAACTGCTGCTTTTTCAGAATGCCAAATCTATCTTCTTGGCTATGCCACCTGTTATGACCATTGTAAGGACTAGACCACAATCCCCCTGCCCCAAAGCCAGAAATAGAACCCAGGAACACTAATTCCCAATATTCTAGTGCTGTCTCACAAATAACGTAGTTGTGTAACCCACTGGCAAAGTGTGTGTCCCACTCTAGTGACTATTCTTCATACAGGATAACAGTCTACTGTAGCTAATAGTTACTCCTTTAGCTCATGTAGTGTTGGTCTGTGCTATAGATCTGACAGTATCAGTTCAAACCTGTGCTGACAACTGATGTGAAAGGGCTTTTTGGTTATACATTTCTAGGTTTTCAGTTTTCTTTTTTAAAAACTTAGTAAATTTTATACAAAGACAAAAAAACTACATTAAAAGAATGTTACAGTTGCAGAGTCAAGCACTCAGAAGTTAGGAAAGGCTGCCAATTAGAAATAAGTGTGCCCAGGCAACCTTAACTCTGCCCCTTGTCCATATGCATTATAATAGTCTTCAGTTACATGATCACATGCTACTTTTTCCACAGGATCTCTGGCTCAGTGCTCAGCATAGATGGCAAATAAGCCAAGGTTATATAACCGATGCTGCTGTTGCCTCTCGCTACCTTGCCTTATCCACTAGAGAAACTGGAAAGTGTGTAATAAATGAGGCAGGGGGCTGCAACAAGCAAGCACGGACTTGTGAGTAAGGCACTGGGCTTGGATACAGGGGGAAATGGGAAATATCTTCGATTCTGCCACAGACTCCCTGTGTTAGACAAAACACTTAAACCAGAATTTTCAGATGTGGCTAGTAACCGTGAGATTCTCATTTTCTCTGTGAAAAACTTGAGCTACCTCGGGCCTGATTTTTCACAACTGCTGAGCACTCACAAGTCTATTGAATGCCAGTGGAAGTTATTGGTATCTGCCACCTCTGAAGGATCAGGCCCTCAGCATCTCAAGTTGGATGCCAATTATTGAGGCACTTCAGTTAGGACACTTACATAAATTTTGGCCTTAACATCTCTGTGCTACAGTTCCCCATCTAAAAAGTGGGCTAATAATCCATTAACATTTGTAAGGCATTCACATGCAACAGTGATGATCACAATAGAAAATTCCATGAGGAAATAAAATAGTTTGGAAGACTTGCATTACATATATTACATAGCCGCATAACGAATGATAAGCAGAAAAAGAAATATTAAATTGTTGCTTCATTCACTGAGAACCATCCAATACCCTGAATGGGCAGAGAACCTGTAGGAAAAATGTGATTAAAGGCTGTGGGTAAAGTCGCCGCCCCCCAAATGTTAGCGCCCTAGGCAACCGCCTAGGTCACCTAATGGGTTGTGCCGGCCCTGAGGATATGTCTACACCTCAGCTAGACCCTCCCACCTTGCAGGGTCCCAGAGCCCGGGCTGCAGCCTGAGCCCAAATATCTACGTCACAGTTAAACAGTTCCCTAGCCCAGTCATTCTCAAAGCCGGTCCGCCGCTTATTCAGGGTATGCACCCTGGCGGGCCGGGCCGGTTTATTTACCTGCCGCATCCGCATGTTTGGCTAATTGTGGCTCCCACTAGCCGTGGTTTGCCACTCCAGGCCCATGAGGGCTGCGGGAAGGGCGGCCAGCACATCCCTCAGCCCGCACCGCTTCCCGCAGCCCCCATTGGCCTGAAGCGGCGAACAGCGGCCAGTGGGAGCCGCGATCGGCCGAACCTGTGGACGCGGCAGGTAAACAAACCGGCCCAGCCCGCCAGGGGCTTTCCCTGAACAAGCGGCAGACCGGCTTTGAGAACCACTGCCCTAGCCCATACCCCGCGAGCCCTAGTCAGCTAGCATGAGCCAGTTGTGGGTTTTTAATTGCAGTGTAGATGTATCCACAGTGATTTAGGAGCTAAGTCCCCATTTCAAAACAAACATTCATAAGCTTAAGGGCTCAGATTTATGGTGTCTTTTTGGAGGGGAGTGCCTAAAGATGCACATAGGCACTTAGAAGGATTTTGTAAAGTACCTAAACAGATTAGGCTACTAAATCCAATTGATTTAAATGGGAGTTAGGTGCTTTACCTGTTAGGCACCTATTGGGATTTTCAAAAGTGGCTACTGTGCATTTTTATGCACCTAAATACCTTTGTAAATCTGGCTGCATGTCACTTTTGAAAACCGGATTGTCTCCTACCCAGTTAGGTGCTTCTGAAAATTTTACTCTGTAGCATAATGCATACTCACAAGGAGGCAGAAAGAAGATTGCACGGGCAACCTCTATTCTGTAATTTCTTAACTTTTATATGCCTGACTTTACATCCTTAACATTAATTTATTTTAGTTTTCATGTATGAAATATTCTATATCTAGAGAGAGAACGTACTAGCAACAGGAAAACTTATACTCAACTGAAAGTGTTATCCAACTTATTCTCTGGATGTTCAAGCTATTCCTACTGGTCAGTTTTAATCACGTCCTCTTTCTTCTCAGTCCTCATCTAAGTTTCACCCTTTCCTGTCATTTGCTCTGATTTTGGTTTATATATTTGTGTATTTATTACAAATCTCTATCCTTTTTTCTCTTTTCCATGATTTCCAGTACTTCTGTCTATTTTGTGCTTCATTTACTTTTGATCTGGTGTTTCATTTTGCTTCCTTTATAATTTTTTCTTACCTTATTTAGCCCTTGAAAACACCCCCAGGAAATATGACCTCAGCATCTTATTAGAACTGTAAAATTGTGGCTTTAGTTCTGTGTGAAATATAATATTACAGTAGTTTCATTAGGGCATATTGCATAGGCTAGGTTAATATTTACTGATGTGTTAATATAATAATGACCCATCTACCTCGTCTCATCTCTGGGGCACTTTCTATCTATAGGGATGGAAATGAATGACAGAGTCTCTCTGTGTTGCCTGATGTCAGAGCTGAGAAAGGTGTGAAGGGTATATAAGAGCTGTATTACTTGCCAGCAAGGAGGGACGAAAAAAGGGATACTGCAGAGTCAGATGCAAGCGTGGAATTGTTGCATGTACCCTTCCTGCTAATACAGACGTGTGTTGAACTTCTTCAGTTAGTTCCTTGACCACTACAAGGTAAATGATTTATCCTTTCTGTTATTTCAGATATAAAGCTACACACACTTTAAGGGGGGGCACAATCTGCCTCATTATTAAGGAACAGTATTATTCAAAGAAAGGCTAAAAGAAAGATCTCGGTACAATCTGTAGCTGAAACCACAATCTAAAATTTAGAAAATGTTGGGAAAAGAAAGCAAGGGAGATGGGAAGAGGATTTAATCCACTAGATGCCAAAATTTACTAGAGAGCCATCTGAATTTATCTTTGTTGTGTCACTAAAGTTTGATCATGCTTTTGCTCTAATTTAATGGCAGAGATTAACTATTGCCTGTTTAGAACAGCACTGAGGTTGGATCTATTGTATGTTGAACAGTACTTAGGATCTCTTTTAGTTTGGAATTATTATTCTTTTCAGAAACTTAGGAAGGAAAGATGTGCAACCTAAAGCTGCCAGTTGTCTTCATTGTGCTCTCTGTTGCTTTAAGCTACTTGGAGGCTACACCTATGGAAAGGTAAGTAATGAAAAATCTTATTTATTTTTAATGAGAAATCAGATGTTTCAGACAGTTGCATTATTCACTTTTGCCATCAAACAATATGAGCGAAATAGGGCTATTCAATTTCACTGTGTATTTTGTTATTGTTTAAAGACTATTCTCTGTGGCTGATGATCTATCTGAAGGGACTTCCAACAGACAAGGATGGCTATTACCAGTCCTGTCAAGGAATACACCCTGGGGACTTAACGGGGCATTGCCACAACCGGCTGCAGCAAAGCCAAAAAGGTATCAATTCTCTTCTGCATTCTTCTATTCAAACCAGATAGAATCAAATTAAGAAGCATAATTTGTGCCAGCGTTTTTCTTTTCTGTTAGATCCCTTCAATTCTATTCAAATTCTCTCAAAGAGTGCTTAAAATATCCTTTTTGGTAGAAATGTAGCCATTCTGTAAAGCAAAGTATTTCAAGTTAGAAAGTGAAATATAGTTGGAAAGACAATCAGTTTTACCAGATCTGTTATGGAAATCTGAAAAGCTTTCAAAATGTGTTCTCTGAATTTTCAGCACACAATTTTTAGGTTATGTTGTGAAAGGAGGTTTACTCTGAAAGGGATCTGCTATTTAAATGTTAATTTTTCATGCCTCAATGGGGGGGGGACATATGACAGTTCTTTCCATGTACAACAGAATTCCTTTTGGAGTGAATTTAATTATTTTAAAATATTACTTTCTTCAGTAGGTGAATGATTGCTCATTTTTGAGATAAACAGCAATTTCAGCATAGCAAGAATCAACAGAAACAATTTGTCATGCTAGAGTTTCACTAGTTTGTAGTACATTTACAAATGCATAAATGTAATTTTCAATAGACTCTAGATGATACAAATAGCAATTTTAAAAGAATTTGGAGTTTATCCTAAGTGATAAACAGTATTGAATAACACTAGGAAAATTAGCTATATTATCTGGTCTGTCTGCTTACTGCATGTTTACGTGATTTTCCTTCACCAGACGTTAAATACATCTCTTTTTATACTTACCTCTGATCACAGTATCTCTTCCAACCTAAAGAATGATTATTACAAACCAAAATGATTATCCTCCAATATAATATGGGTAGTGAACACACAATCCCAGAACTCTTATAGCTAGTCCTCTTTATCTTAAAGAGTTAAAATCAAACATTTCTCTACAAGATATTTTCTTCAAGTGTGGGGTCTGATACCCTACTCATTAATGTCCCTGTCTAACAGCCCTCTTCAAAGTAAGCAGCCCCCCACTGAAACCAATGGAACTCCCCATTCACAGCCATGATGAGTTTTTGTGTCATTTTGTTCAACTGTGTTATAATGTTAGGTATTGATAAAATATATAATAACTTGCTGCATCAGTTTCATAATGTTAACTATTGTAAAAATATAGGTCCAGAGTTTTAGGACCTGGGCCTACAACATTTAAGAGAATGGGTGCTTTGTCTTCATGAACAGATTAGCAATTTCATGAGAATAAGTGATTGATTTGTCCTTTAAAGTGAAAGTACTTAGCAAATTTCCCATCCATGATCTATTGTTTGCTGGCTGTGTGATAGAATTTTATGTCTTTTCTACTAGGCTTTAAGAGCCTGATCAAGCTCCCCTTGGAGTCAATAGAAAGACTCCCACTGACTTCAAGGAAAGTTGGATCAGACCCTAAATCACCATTTAACTGAAATATGACATGTTTAAAATATGAATCACTTATAAACTATTACCCATTTGCTAACCAGCAGCTGTTATAGCTCAGACATTTAGCACAGTTTCTATTTCACCTGGGATCTGAGATTCAAAATCACACTGCTGAAACATAATGTGACATTTTAAATACTAGACCTAGTCAATTAATGGGAAAATTATTAATCAGGAATTAGTCAGAGTAACATTGCCAAAATTCATATTATTTGCAATGAATTATTTGACCTATTCATCAACAAAATGTAATTTACTTCATGTCACATCAGCATATAGATTACTTTGAAGAAGTAAAGGGAAATCCTTTGGAACAGATGGTCCTTATTTCAGGAACTATTGTCAACAGCAGAGAGTGTCTGTTTAAGGGCATGGCTTAATGGTCTAAGAAGGAAGTTTGAAATCCCTGAGCTTCCCGGAACCAAAGATTTGAACTCAACTCTTCCTCTTTCTGAAGTGAGTCCCCTGCAGCTTACTGTGTGGGGGTCAGTTGGATAAGACCTTAAAACTGAGGTTTTCTTTGCACACTGATGTTTCAATGACACATTTTGTAAGAAAGGTAGGGCCCTGTCCAAAAATGGCTCTCCCCCACCACAGCAGTATTGCCATGCTGCTATGCTCCAACAGAAGTGGCTGATTTTCAGTAGTGAAGAATTACTGTTTGTACAGAGCCAAAGCTTGAGTGGTACAGAAGCCAATGGAAGATGCAGATGCTGAGCACCTCTCAGGATCTGGCCCACAGCCCTAGTCTCAATCCTGCTGCCTTTTAAATTAATTGAAGGTTTGCCATTGACTTTAATGGGACCAGTATGGGGCTCTCTGAGATTAAGGGAACTGAATAAATGTAAGTGATTATTATAATGCTAATCATTCTCATGATATCAGCAAGTTCTCTAAATAGCCATAAAAGTTAATCTTGGAGCTAAATCATTGTTGTCACTTATGACTTAACTATACTATTATTACAGTTATTCTAGGTGCCAGAAGCTACTGTGCTGAATATCAATAAAAATGACATATGAATCCTGAGGTTTTTGAATTTAACCTACACCTATCATTAAAATAGATAATAGCATACAATGTGATTTTTTTTCCAGGCACAAAGTAGGAGGCAGGAATATTGTACTGTTCACAAATTTGTGCTCACATTAAAAGAACTCCTACATTATCAGTTAAAATGCCTTTTAGAAGTGACATATTTGATTGCTCATCATTAGACTTCACCATGGCTCTGTTTGTTTTATGTTACCAGTCACCGCTTGGAGAAACGGAAATGCAACACTGCTACATGTGTGACGCAACGTTTGGCTGACTTTTTAGTTCGATCCAGCAACAACATCGGAGCAATTTATTCACCTACTGATGTGGGATCCAATACATATGGCAAGAGGGACCGAGTTGGGCTTTTAAACAGAGAACCCCTACATTATCTACAGCTTTAGTGTGTTGAAATGATTCCTGCTGCACTCCTCATTAGGAGTTTCTCCCCAGTTTTTAATGTATAAATAATCTTTTAGTCATTTACTACCTATACATTCTTAACAGTGCCTTGTTTTATTTGTGTGTGTGTCTGTGTATGTGACTTTCATGGTTCTCATTTCACTATGCATGTATGATGACATGCATAGGGTATGGTTTTGAATTCACTAAAAGCTTCAGAAATCTGCTCATTTCATTCCTTTGTGGAAAAAAAATAAATCACAAAAATAAACTGAAATGTAATTGCTATAGGGTTTTTTTTAATTAAAAAGATTAAAAAGACAACTGTGATGTGTATGTCTTTATAGTCCCAGCTGGGTGAGGGGGGAAAAATGAAACCTGTCCTAAACAACCACTAAGGGAGCTAACAAAAATCAGTTGGTTAATGGAGGTTGTGTCCTAATGTAAGTGAAGCAGAATTGTACTCAGTACTTTTGGAGATGATTTAGAGGGGTTATAGTCCCTTACTGCACTCTAAGCAAGAATTATTGGGTGAAATTCTATGGCCTATGTTATGCAACTCAGACTAGATGATCATAATGGTCTCTTCTCACCGAAAAATCTTTTAGTCTAATAAGGGTGAACCCATGTACAGGTTTCATTGCATATTGCAATATGCTATTTTAAGGGTTTAAAATTCTTATGTCTAAATTTTAGCTCATTTAACTCTAACCACTATGAGAAACAGTAAATTATAAAGCGGAGCACAAGCAAACCCAGCTAATAGGGTGACAAGAACTTTGTATTCTTCTTAAAAGCATGTCCTACAAAAGAACTGGCATCTTTCTTTGTGTGTTCCCTTCTCGGAACTGAATTAATAAACTGATTAAAAAGCAAGCAAGCAAAAGCATTAAGCTATCTATGATAGCTTTATTTAAAAAAAAAAAATCTGTTCATGACAGATTTTTTCCAACTAGTATTTACTAGTACTAAGCAATTCATTAAAATCTAAGAGCAGTTTGACACCATAAGCTTTTCCTTGGTCTTATCCCAGCACAACGTCACTGTACGTTTATGAAATGTACATGTCATTTTAATCTGTGGTGTGGGCTTTCAGAAAAACTGCCTCATCCAGTATATTACAATAGGAATTTTTGTTTCTCTTCATCATATTCTCAATTAAAAGTTTAATGACATCAGGAAACCACATACTGGATAGTGGCTTCTTAATTGTCAAATTATGAAAACCTTTTAGCAGAAGTTCTGTAGGCCACTCATGCCTTCTCGTTGAAAAGCACCATTAGTGGAAAAGTAAATTAAACCTGAATACTCTGCATGGGTTGATTCACTTTGTTGTGTTTTCTTTATAAAGTGTGCCTTAGATTACAAACTCTAAGTTTAAACTTTATTTTAATTTATGTTTTGCCTTCATTTTATGAACTGATTTGAAGTACATTGAAATAAAAATTAAAGCAATGTGCAAGCTATTGCTAATTATAATTGTTTGTTCAGAAAAGGCTAACCTTAGAGATATTGCAAAGGATAGTTATTCATAAAGTCTTTGAAAAAGTTGTCCAATGTTATTCTGCTTGATTAATACTTCTGGCAGCTTAAAAACAGATGTACTTTCACTTCATTCTTACTCAAGTTCTACAGCTTCTTTATGTATCCAGCTTAGTTTGATTTTTTTTTTCAATTCAAGTATGACAATCTCTCCAGAAAGCAAACAACCAGATATTGTTAGAATAGTGGTGAGCTGTCACAGATAGAATGTAATGGTGCATTACAGTAATTGCATAGCATCTTGCAGGTGGTTGCTTCAAGGTTTATTGTACTGTGTTTACAAAGAATGTTGGTAATCCCAGAATTAAAAGCTTTATACATATTAACTATCAATGCATCAGCAGTCTCTAGATTGTCATTTGATGACCCTACCACACAGATAAAACTGACCACACTAAAACTCTGCACAGACTGGCAACACCTCCTCAATTTCAGTGGTACCAAGTACATCTTTTTCTAGACTGTCCAATGTACCCGTTCAGTGATTGTGATGGTATCAATAGTACCATTTCTTTAGTTGGGAGGATACCCCAAAAGGGGACTTTTCCTCAAAGTCAATAGATCAACTAATAGTGGGTCACACCTTAATGTACTTAGGACCCAGTTCAGCAAAAACACTTAAGCATGTGCTTAAGTCTCACTGAATTCAATGGGATATAGGCATATGCTTTGCTAAATCAAGGCCTTGATGCCACCCACCAAAGCTATGTCACTTTAGACTCAGTCTTGCAAGGTGCATGTACCCACCATTCCCATTAACTTCAACTGCCTGGAGATAGCCAATCCTTCACAAGACTGGAGCCTGCCATAACAAATATAGAACACTATAACCCAAAACTGTACATTTCTAGTGGCCCTAGACAGTGCTCCTTTGATCACTTGGTCAATAGGAGTTTTGCCTGAATAAAGAGTTTGGAACAGAACCGTTGTTCTATTCTGTATATAGTTTCTTCTTGGCAAATTGTTGCATGCCCCCCTCACCAGCTCCCTTTCTACCATGGAGATCTATCAGGGTGTGGAACAGTCTCTCAAGCCCAATCACTTGAGACATCTAAAATGAAGCTGAAAAATGCATAAGACTTTTCCAGCTATAGCTTCTGGAGCTGTGGTTCTGGTTCTATCTGGACTCAGTTACTGGTGTGATTTGCTCAGCATAACAGTCCATTTGGTGCCACGGAAAACAAGCCAGGCTATTAAACCATCAGAATGATTGGTCCACATTGCTGGAAACATGCAAAAAAGCCATAAAGAATTAGGTGCCTGGAGGGCAAAAAAGATAAATGAATAAAGCGGTCAGCTCAAGTGTCTTTGTCTTGAGAAATGGCCTAAAGTGAGAGTTGTTTCTTTGAATTCACTATTTGCGGCCCAATTCTGATCCCCTTACTCATTTAGAGTAGTTTCTTACTCTGCAAGTAGTCCTATTGATTGTATTGAGGCAACTTGCAGAGTTAGGTACTACTTATTTTTAGTATGGCCCTTAGATAGGGAAGGGAGGATCATATGACAGTGGTCTATTTTTTAAATAAAAATAGAAAACAGTAAAGCATTGGTTCTTCAAAACCACAAATGGCATAATATTAAACATTGCAGAATAGGGGCACCATCGTGTGAAGTGCCATTGAAATCAGTGGGCATTAGGCACCGAACTTGCTTAGGTGCTTTTGAAACTCCCACTAGGTGCCTATCTGCACCTTTAGGCCCATAAAATACCTTCAAAAATCAGGACCCTCAATGCCCTTTGGATTCAACTGGAGTTAAAGATGCTGTGTACCTATGAAGTGGTGCTTAGCAGCTTGCAGCATTGGGGGCCAAGGGAAAAATTTAAGAGGAAAAAAAGAGGGGGAACAGAGGAAAAAACAAGGACATAATAACACAATAAACAATATACAGATAAGAAAGCTCTGCATTTTTTTATTCACTGACATTAAATTACATAATAAAGGGGGGAAATATGGAGAAGACTAAATAGTGTAAAAAGAATGGAGAAAAATATAAATCTAAAAAGTCATCAAAGGAGCAAAAAGGAAGTGACAAAGTTCCTCTTCTACCTTAGTGGGTCCTGCGCTTATTGGCGGATTTGCTCACCTCACAGATTCACCCTGTGGGTCAGGAAACAGTCCAGAGACCTTCCCCTCTGGTAGAAGCTACCGTCCAGGTCAACTCCTCCTGTGTTTGATCAGGAGTTGGGAGGTTTGGGGAGAACCCGGGCCCGCCCTCTACTCCGGGTTCCAGTCCAGGGCCCTGTGGACTGCAGCTGTCTAGAGTGCCTCCTGGTATAGTTGCACGACAGCTACAATTCCCTGGGCTACTTCCCCATGACCTCCTCCCAACACCTTCTTTGTCCTCACCACCGGACCTTCCTCCTGATGTCTGATAACGCTTGTACTTCTCAGTCCTCCAGCAGTACGCCTACTCACTTTCAGCTTCTTGCACACCTCTTGCTCCCAGTTCCTCGCACACACTTCCTCTCCTCTGGCTCCCCCTGGCTTGACTGGAATGAGCCCTTTTATAGCATCAGAGGGGCCTTAATTAGAGTCAGGTGCTTAACTGCCTCACCTGACTCTTAGCAGGTTAATTGGAGTCAGGTGTTCTCATTAGCCTGGAGCAGCCCCTGCTCTGGTCACTCAGGGAACAGAAAACTGCTTATCCAGTGGCCAGTATATCTCCCTTCGACTACTCTGCTGTTCCCAACTGGTCTGGGTCTATCACAGAAGGTAAACAGGAGAGTAAGAGTATGAAGAATGTATTAAAACAGTAGCAGGCACTAGGGCCTAATGTTTCCCAGGGACTGCGGCATTTTCATAAAAGGTAGAATTCGCATCTTCTTGGATGAATATGGCTTAGCTAAGAAATTGGTTTCATTTTAAAAGGCTTGGACTAAAATTTTGAAAAGCACACATAGTATTCATGTGACATTAATGAATTTTATTAAAAATATTTTGAATGAATGTTTTCATTTTCCAGGAAGGAAATACAAATATTTCTGCTGCCCAGAAGGATTCTGAATTAGCGCCCAACTTAGGCTGGAAATGCTCCCATTGACGTCCGGGAGACAATGTTTAGCAACAAGTATGGATTTTGGTGAGTGGTTTTCTAAAACCATTTGCAAGCGATCCTATAAATAAAATCAGTTTCCAGAAACGCTTTAGTTCATGTCTTGGGTAGCTGCAGTCTTCACTTTTTGAAGGTGTGCTGTTTGAGTCTATTAGTTCATATATGAATATAGCTTGACATTTATGGTAGACTGCTTCTGTTGACAGCAACACAGTTAAGTAATTTTGTTGTCTAACTTAGTTATCATGTCAGAAAGAGACTGTTTTGCATTGCTTCTGTTGTACGCCACTAGCAAAATGCTCTGGTTAGAATGACATCTCATTGCTGTGTACAGAAGCTAAAAATAATGGTTGAAGTACCATAAAATAGAATCTTTCTAACGAAAGACAACTTCTGCTTCAGTCAT